TATCGGCACATGTTAGCGATATGCGCTACTTATCTCGTTGCTTATCCATAGTCTCGATTATTTAACGATTATTATTTTTGCGACGTAATGTCTGCTATCGCACATCTCTACCGATACATGTAATAAATATTACATGATATTATCTAAAATTTTACTTGCTACTGACTTTTGCTTATCACAAATCGTAGATTATTTTATCAAACAATCTATCGATTTTTTATTAATATTTTTATTATTAAGGTTTTTATTATTAAGATTAAAAATTAAATTCATAAAAAAGATATTTATCAATTAAAGGAAAATATCATAAACGGAAATATTAAATCATCTGAAATAACAGATTAATTAAAAATTAAATTTTGCTTCCTTATAGATTGATATAAATAGAATTATCTAATCACGATTATCAATTTAGATTAGAGATTTAATAATTTTAGAATATAAAGCTAATTAAATTGGAATTAGATTAGGTTTTTCTTTTTTGATGAAACAGCTGTTTCGACGAATGGAAGAAGAGAATGTCATTAAACAGACTACGTAGTGTCAGAAAATGATACACGAATATTTGCAGTTTTGAATAATGTGTCGTGTATACACATTATCGTCTTCAATTATTCATAATTGCAACTCATTGTTTGCGAATTTCTAATTTGATGAGATTAAAATCATCGCGGGAGTTCCTCGAAGTTACGAATGATGTTGAATATTCTCACAAATTTAGCTTGAAGCGATGTTTCTTCGATGGAATGTAATTGTTCACAGAGAAACAAATTTCTTTAAATTTAATAATTCTATTTGTTCAACTTGAATTTGTTTAATTTAAACAACAGAGTTTTATATTATATTAAATATCATTTGGTTGAATTAAAAATTTTCCTAGACAACAATCTAAAATCATAAAACGTCTATTTAAAGAAAAATAAAATTTGTCTTTGAATTATTTGAGATAATACTTTGGTTAAATTAAATATTGTGTTTCAATGAGAGAAAGAATTCTTTAATATTATTAAAGCATATAGTAAAGAACATCATTCCCTTTAAACCGTTTATCAAACAAATACTTTATTCGTAAAGCTATTTGAAAAACCAACCGATCAAATTTGTTGAATTAATAAGTTGACTTGTTTGAAGTATTCCATAAGATAAATTTCTTTGAATCTAATGGAATTTATTAAATCCCAAAAAATCGTCTTTTTAGTGAATTTTTTTTATTCCACAAAATTTGTTTCTCTATTTCCTTGAGCTAGACGTAGAAATAGTAAAAATTGAAATCGCGAAACAAAATTCTTTATATTGGTATCATTAAGAATTATTAATATCACTATAAATAATAAGTAGGTGAAGAATATTTATACGTAATGAAAATTCAAATTTACATTCAGGAAAGAAAAGTACAGTTGATAAAATATAACAACGAAATTTAATAAACTTGGTCATGTCAACTCGCAGTGACTTCACTCAACATTTTCTCTCTTCAATTGAGGGATTAAACAAGGATTACCTTTCAGATAATCCCAGAACGGGGATTACCTCTCCCGTTTATTTGATTTCCATTTTTTGGCATGTACTAACAATAAGATAATGATTTCTACTCTGAAATAGTTATATTATACAGTTTTTGAGGGACGATGCAACAATAATCATTATCCTATTATTGTTCTCATTTCATATCATAATTATTTGATAATGCTTATTTGATAATGCATTGCCTCAACACCGTTTACTGTGTCATTAAGATTATCATCGTTTATCCCGTGAGAAGTGGATATTTCGAAATAAGGAAACTTATCCACGAATATGACTCAAACAGCGTAAAATCCAAAATCGAGATATAAAACTTTTTAAAGACATCTTTGCGAAACACATCTAAAAGATGTCTTGAAGATATCTTATGTCCTAATTTTGGACTTTGTGTTGTTTGAGAAATTTTTATCTTTATAAAACTGTACTAATGATTGTTTTTAAAAGATTTCTTTTAAAAAAAATTACAAGAAAACAATAGGAATCGATCAACAATCTAGAAAAGATCTCTTATTGTTCTTTATCGTAACCTATCGATTTGCTTTTTATATTTCAAAAGAAATGTTAGCGTGTTTCTTATCGTTTTCATTCTCTGTGGAAAGAGGATTCAATTGTTAAAGTATGATAGAATTCTTGTAGTAATTTATTATTCTTTATCGTTCAATAGAAATGTATCGAAAAGAAATGATCAAAAATCTGTCATAATTAATCCTGTATTTGCAATAAAAGAAACATTTCAACATTTTTTATTTATTTATATTTATTTTTATATAATTACGACAGAAAATGTTTTGTAATCCATTAGAATGTCATTGTTACAACAGCGAATCATTTCTCATTAAATAATAATGGAAAAAAACTTATTTATTATTCCAATGCATCAACGTCGACGATATTGGTTGCTGTACGATTGCTTTTGTATTTTGTAGTTGGTAATTTAATTATTTAATAAACCATTAGGACTGCGTTTCAATATATTTATCAATACTGAAAATTTATATATATAATATGAATTATATATATAATATGTATATTTTTAGTATTGGCAATGAATATCAGAATGCAATCTGGATCGAGTATATTTTAAATAGAGTAGTGAAACATATAATTTAATTAGCATATAATTAGTATTAACTTATCTGATAAATACGAACTTATTAATTTATAAATGGAATTCTAACTTAACAGAAATGCCTTTATTATTATTATTTTGAAAACAAAACCTTATACAAAAAATATCTTATACAAAAAAATTTTATTCTACATTTTAGATTTATTTTCGGCTTATTGAATAATCTTCCGTTTCGTTGTATTCGTCCTGATTCACTCTGTGTATCAGTAAAATATTATAATAAATAATGAAAGTTGTTATTATTATTGCACAGTTAAAGAGATTGTAAAAATTGTAAAAAAGACAATGTAACACATAAGATAATTATGAGAAGAAACGATAGAAGTCAAGCGTATTTTTACGATATTGCTTTTTTTTTAATTTGCGATTGATAGTTATAAATAAAAACGATAAAATTATATGTTATGTTATTATTATTACTATTATTTTATATCTTTTTTTTAGAGAAGTTACGTATGATTTCTGTAACTTTAATAAACTCAACAAATCAAAATATGATGAGAAAGTTTATGTTAATTTTATTCCATTTAGGTTATAAAAACATTCTAGGATCTTGTAAATTATATTCTTCGACTTCTTTTTTTTCTCCTTTTCTTTCTTCTTCTCATCTCTTTCTGTCTCTTTCTTTATCTGCATTCTTTTTGATCATTAAATATCACGGTGCATAGAGGACTAGAAAATTTATTAAACTTAATAAAATAAAATAAAATAAAATCGAAAATAAAATGCTTCTTCGAGTATTAGATATCAGATGATAAAATTGCAGTATATATAAAACTATACTAACTATGTGAGATCATTACTTTCGTAAGTTTGTTTTGTATTCATATGAATATAATTTATATTAACAGAATTTTTTGCTTGATTCTCTCTTTGTTTAGTATCCGCCGCATCTGATAAGTATAAATTAATTTTCAATCGTGCACTTTACTTTCCAGATCACCGCGATAAATTTGGACATAACATAAACATGTATGTCCAAATAACTTTATATGCGTGTGTAACGTGTCATTATCTATTTTATGATACGATTACTTATACACACAAAACAGCTACTCGCTTATTTAAAATAAATAAAATAAATTTTTCTTCAACAGGCTATACCATTAGAATGGCGAATATTAACACGAGATTGTATAATTTACGTCATATCGGTAGCTGTTTTGGTGGTCATAATGTGGGATGGCATAATCACTTTGTACGAAGCGATCAGCCTTATGGTGCTGTTTGTCACTTATTTGACAATATTATTTTGCAATAAATGTATTGCGCGTTGGTACAATAAGTTTGCGCATCTGTTTACTTGCAAAACCCGCAGTACTGACATTTCCGAGAAAGAGAGTAAGTATCATTATTTCTTGGAGATAGAATTTTCTTGTAGATAATTTCTTGTGCAATTTTTACGCCTTTTTACGAATATTAATTAATCTTTTAAAAGTGAGCGTCAGCATCTCGCACAGATCGCTTGCTTGATATAACATTTTTGCGTCAATTTTTAATGTTTAAATATCATATATCAAGGTATATCTCCACTGTAATATGAAAATTAGTTGTAATGGTGATAAGATATTTTATAAATTAATAATAGATATTTTATTAATAATATATT